TCGCCCCTTTTTTTGGGGGGGGGGGGGGGGATGCAAAGCAGCAAGCGGGGACCGTGAGTTGTGTCCAGTACGCGGTGGCAGCGGCGGCGCAGCAGGTGCCATGCGGCCGATGCGCTCATGGCCCAGCTCGGATTGCGGCATGCTGGCGGCATCCCAAAAGCCAGCTGCACACTCCAGGCACACAGTTGTCGCGGGTGTCGAACATGGCCGCTGCGCAAACGCCACCGACACCCACCCCAAAGCGATCCAGCAGCGGCCTGCCTGGTGCAGCGCAGAGCAGCAGCAGCGCCAGGCCGGGGCCCAGCAGAGTGAACAGCCGCATGCCCGAGTTCGCGCAAACGGGGGGGCGCTGTGGAGGTCGAATGCACGCCTGACCAGGATGTCGCGCGTGATGCACCCGGTTCCAGTTTGGGGGAATCTGCCCATCTTGTTACCCCTGGTTTGCCTGCTGCGACTGCTGCGCATGCTGACCTGGTGGCGCAGCTCGCGTGCATTCACTGGTCAGGCTCGGTTACAACGTGTACATACGGAGATACACACCAAAGGAAGCAAATCAATCAATGGAAATGGCCCCTTCTAAGAAGAGGATGAATGGCAGCGCTGAATCCTGCTGCTGTGCACCGTGGTACGTGGCAAAGCATAAAAATGACTAGTCCAGATGCCGAAACAATCGCGTTCTAATGTAGACATGTTCTGTAACGTCGATCTACGCTACTGAGCTACCGGCGTCTCTATCTAAAATGGCACAGCTTCTGCGCGTTGCTGGAGAGGAGCGGGCAACCTGTAATGGCGGAGTCGCGTGTGGGTTTGTAAATGCATCGCTGGCGGCCCTGAAATGGGGGCAACCTCTGGGCAAGCTCTGCAACTGAGGACTGCTCGGTCTGGATGTGGCGTCTGCGACGGGTCCAATTGGCGCCCGCTGCTCAGGCCTTCTTGCAGGGCACATTGATGGTCGAGCCTGCACAGGCGGCGGCACAGCGGGCGGGGCGTCGCTGGCCATGGCGAGTCGGCGCTGGCGGGCGTGGAACGGCAGCACACTCTGTGCTGCCTCGTGAGGCACTGCACCAGCGGCACCCACCCAGGGGGATGGAGTCGGGCTTGGTGATCTGGGGGTTGATGGCCAGCAGGGCGTCGTTGGTGGTGGCGTAGGTCTGATTGGAGGGGCAGGGGCAGGTCGTGAGGAGCTTGGGAGGCCAGGCAAGGTGGCTGGCAGAAAGGCAGGCAGGCGAGCTGGCAGCACAGCACACCGGGCATGCGGCTGTGGCTGTGGTGGTGGTGGGCCGCCGCCGACGCAGGCGAGTGCACCACGCCGCCATGGCAGCCAGCGGGCAGCTGGGAGGAGATTGGCAGCTCACCTCTGCCAGGGAGGAAAGGAACTCCCCGGCTTCCACCACGTGCATGCACAGCACGACGGGGAGGGGCGGCCGGGGCGGCAGCGGCGAGGGCGGCGGCGGCGACAGCACCGGAGACGGCGGCGGCGAGGGGGAGGGCTCCGGAACGGGTTCTGGCGCTGGAGCGGGCGCCTCAGCGATGGAGAAGTCGCCGCCCTCGAAAAACTCGGCGCCCGGAACCAGCACCTGCGCATACATACAGGCCAGCATGCATGGAGGCATGGGTGGGTGCCGGTACGCTGAGCAGGCCTGCCCCTGAGGCACAGCATGCTGGGCAGCACAGCAGCATGGGCTGGGCTGCTGCGCATGGCAGGCGGCAGAGGCAAGCAGCGCACGCCTGCACCGCGCCACGCCCACCGCCGCCCTGCCCCACCTTGTCCACGAGGTGCACCACCGCGAAGCCGGCCTGCAGGTCGGCCTTCACAACCTTGGCCCGCTGCCCCGAGGTGGTGCCCAGGTGCGGGTTGCCATTGACCTCCGTGTACTGCAGGCAGGAGGCGCGGTACAAGGGAGTGCGCGGGCAAGATGGGCGGCGGTTGCAGCGGTGGCGGGCAGGAAGCCAGAGCAGCACAGGAGGGGAGGCCAAGGGAGCCGAGGATCTGCAGCGACGTGGCGCCTCTCCTGTCCCGGCCCCCCATCAAGCAGCGCCCTGAAAATGCATGCCCAGCCCCATGCATGCCACGCAAGGCCCCTGCGACCCTCCTACCACCCACCTTGAGCTCGCCCGCCTGCCCCCCCAGCTGGGTCTGCAAGATCTCGCCGTCCTCCAGGTCGCCAGCGGTGAGCGCCTGCCCGGGAACCACGTGGTAGGGCAGCACCTGGGCAAGCAGCTCCTGCAGCCAGGCAGTGTGGCACAAGGAGCGGGCGACGGCACGTGAAGGGCACATGGCAGGCTGAAGGAAAGAGGAGAAGGCAGTCGGAGCGAGACGTCTTGGCTGCAGCCCGAGCGCCGCAGTAAGCAGGTGCAGCTGAAGAGCCTGGGTCCCACCCCAACCACCAGGCGCTCCCCACCCCCCACACACTCACTGTGTCAGCCAGCACCTCCTCCTCGCTCAGCCCCAGCTGCTCGGCCAGCTTGCCAAAGGCCTCGTCGGTGGGTACAAACACCGTGCCCACAAAGCCCTCTGCGCCGCGGCAGGGGACGGAGCATGGCGGGGCGGGTGGGGCGCGGCAGCGGAAGGCACGCGGGTGCCTGACGGCGGGCGCGCGTTCTGGCCGCGCTCCCGGCCATGCAAGCGCTCAATGCAGCTGCCCAAGAGGGTGCAAGCCCGAGGCTAACGGCCACCGCGGCTCACCCGCCAGCTCATCCGACAGGCCGGCGGCCTCGAGCGCCGCGGCCAGCCAGCTGGCGTCGCCGCTGGCTGCCGCCAGCACCGCGACCGACTCGGAAGCGTCCTCTCCCTCCCCACCCTGGGCGGACACTGCACGCGGGTGGAAGCGATGGCACCGATGGTGAGGTTAGAGGCAAAGAGGCGCAGGTGGTTGGTGTGGCTGGCAGCAATCGGGGACCGTGCGAGGCGGCAGCAGCGGCTACTGGCGGCGGCGGCAGCCGAGCGGCGGCGGCAGTCACTTGCGCCTAACGCGGCGAGGGCGCGCGGCCCCCAACCCCAACCCAGACCGGCGGTGATCACATGCCACATCACATCAGCAGGCCTCCAGGCACTGGGCTTCTGGGCCTGGGCTGAGGCGATCCTTCCCTCTCCAGAACACTATCAGCAGCCCCAACGCCGTCAGGAACCAACCACACACATCGCTCTCAGCTTGCCTGGTGCGCCGGAGATCAGCAGGAGCGCCAGGCCGGTCGCCAGCAGATGGAGCAGCCCCATGCCAGGGCGCATGTGGGGGGTGATGGGCCAGGCTGCGCACAACACTGATGGAGCCGGTAGCAAGTGTCGGGAGGATCACTTCGTGGACAAGCCAAGATCTGCCAACGCGCCTGCTGTGCCACGCTGCGCCGCCGCCACTCGGCAGTTGCATGCCTGCGGGCCCCATAGAAATTGCTGCAGCTGGGCCATCGATTTGGAAAAGAATAGATGTAACAACTGTATATATTGTGTGACCCAACCAGGCAAAACCACCTGCAGCCTTCCCGCCCGGCGCTGTGCCGCCATGCACAGGCTGCTCGGCCCGGCACCCACTGCTTTACAAATATTCGAGGGCAGCAACTGCAGAGATTCATTTGAGCCTTGTGGTGCACCACATCGCTCGCTTTACACTCCTGGTGCTGGACGCTGCGCTGTCAGGCAGGTGGCGATGCTCCCGCATGGGCTAGCCGGAGGCGCGTGGTCGCTCAGCGCCTGCTGGGGGCGGGGGCGGGGGCGCTTGCTGCGACAGACTCGTCGCCCGGGATGAGGACCTGCGTGGCGGCACAGTAAGAAGTGCAGGAGCAGAGTTATTGAGAAGGTGGAAGGAGGACCAGGCATTGCCGTCGCAGCCAGCCTCCAGCATGCCCACCGGAGGGGCAGCCCTGAGCGCCGCCAGGGCGCGCTGCGGACCGGTGCTGCCAAGCTCAGGCAGGGGCCTGGCCTCTGGAGGGCATCCTCAAGGGCGGCGCCGGCAACCCTCTGCCCCTCCACACCTTGTTGATGAAGTGCACCACGGCGTCGGCGGCGAACTTGTCGGCGCCACCCTTGATGATGTCGGCATACTGGCCGCTGGTGGTCAGCAGGCTGGGCCCCTTCTCACGGGGCACGTACTGCGGGCAGGCGTGGCGGGCAGGCAGAGAGGGGGCTGGAGCTGTGGAGGGGCCGCGGCAGCGATGCGCTCGGCATGCAAAGCGGGCCGGCGCCTGCTCGGCTCCTGCTGGCACCGGCCCCAGTTGTGCATCCACCAGAAGCACCCCGGCATGAAGCAGGCAGATTGCCACGGCCGCCACCACCACACACACCAGGCGCCCCCACCTTGATCTGCCCGGTGGCGCCGTCCAGCAGCGTCTGGTACACGCTCATCGCCTTGGCCTTGCCCTCGCCCGCAGTCGTGACCAGCTTGCCGGGCACGACATGGTAAGCCAACACGTTGGCCAGCAGCTCCTGCAGGGGAGGAGGCAGGCAGGGAGGCGTGTGGGCAGGTAGGTTGGCAGGCAGGCGGGCAACGCGCCAGCAGGGATCGGGGGGAGCAGGTGACGAGGCGGCCTGGGCAGGCGGCAGGTGGCAGACGTAAGAGCAACCTTGCCTACCCCAAGGTTTGGGCACTGGCTCGCCCACACCTGCCACCATACCAGCCCACCACCAGCCCACTGCCCCCAGCTCCCCCCCAGCCCGCCCAGCGCCCCTTCCCTCCCACAGAGACCCCCACCGTATCCTTCAGCAGCTCTGCAGGGCTGCCCAGCTCCAGGTCCTCGGCCAGCTTCTCAAAGGCATCGTCCACAGGCACAAACAGGGTGGCCTCGCCCAGCGTGGCGTCTGCAGCAGGGCGGGGCGGGCAGGCGGGGAAGCCGGTGGTGGGCATGGTGGTGCGCCGCACACGGTGTACGTAGGTGAGCGCGTGGGTCCCGCTCCCTAGCCAGGGGCTGGACCAGAGGCTCTCTGCGGCCCAACAGCACCCGCCGCACTTCTCAGCATGCTCGCTCACCGTCCAAGAGGTCTTCCAGGCCGGCCGCCTGCAGCGCCGCTACGAGCAGCTTGGTGTTGTTCTTGAACTCCAGCAGCTCCACCAGGGTCTCGTACGTGGGGCCGGGCGCCGCGTGGTCGTCGTCGTCGGCAGCTGCGGCATTGGCGGCGGCGGCGGCGGCGGTAAGCTGGGGGGCAAGTTGGGTGCTGGGGCGGCTGCCTGCAGCGGCTGCGCTGACCGCGGCCTCGATGCTTCTGGTGGATGGAGTTGCGGAACAACAGCATGGTGGTGTTTTGGGACCTGTGTGCTTTGCCATGTTGCACATGCCGTTTGCCCACTCAGCCCTGTTGACATCGGCAGGGTGCCGTATTACCTGCTGGTCTGGCGCCGGCGATCAGCAGTATGCCGATGGAAATGAGGGCGAACACGCGCATGGTCCTTTGCATTGATTCCCCTTGAAGCACCGGATGGCCTCGCAATCCGCCCTGGACGGTTTTTAAAAGGCGATAAAAGCTGCAGAGAGTCTAGAAACGGGGTGCAAGGCGGCCTACAGGCAGCGATGGCCGTGCTTGTGGCCGCTGAAAAGCGCAGCAGGCACAGCAGCTCGTCGATTGTTGCTGCATGCCGCTTCTTCTTGTGCTCTGGGATGGCTCATGAATTCGCACACATGCTGGTATGCATTTGCTAGAGGAACCTGGCCGATCGCCCTGAGCGCAGCACAACCACCGGCGGCGCCACTCGCGTCTACTCACAAACTGCGCTGCACATCATTACAGCAGCCAAACAACAAGAATCGAAATGAAATGCGCTAGGGGGGTCATTTCAAGGGATCAGGAGGAATCGCAGAGTTGCAGCCCCCACGCCAGGCCGCCGCAATGCACGGCAGCGGGAGGATGCACAGATTGCAGAGGCCTGGTGCCACCAAATGGCTGGCTCAGAAGCGAACCAATGGATGGTGGCCCGAGGAGTGCCGGACGGCTGGAGGTCACGGGCTGGGGCCAGGAGCGGGGGCAGAGAAGAACTCATCACCAGGGATGAGAACCTGCGGGGGCGGGCAAGGGGTGGCGGCATTGGTGGGATCAGGACGCGGGCAGGTGTCGCCTGGTGCAGCCAACAACAGCAGCGGGCAGTGCCAGCTGGCAGGGGCCGCTCAGGGCCGGGGCTAGGCGCAGGAGGTGGTGGGCGGGCCGACAGCAGCAGGTTGCGTCGCGCGCCAGGCTCCCCCCACAGCACCCTGTGTGCTTGCGCAGCGCGCAACGTCTTGCCAGCCTGCCCGGCTGTGCCCCCCCGCTGCCCCCGCCGCCACCCCCAGGCGCAACCCACCGCATCGATCAGGTGCACGATTGCCTTGCCGGCGGAGATGTCGGTCTCGGTGATGCGCGCCACCTGGTCGGCGGTGGTGCGCAGGCGGGGCAGGCCCTTGAAGGTGTAGTACTGCCAGGGAGGAAAGGAGGGGGCGGGGAGGGGCAAGCGAGGTCAGGAAGGCATGCAGGCGGCGGGTACCGCGCAAGAGGAGGCAGCGGTAGGGGAGGCCAGGCAGGGGCAGGTGGAGTGGGGCAGACGGAGTGTTACGGCGGCGGGGGGCCTCGCGTTGGGCTGCGGCAGGATGCTGCGTCGAGGCCTGGGGCGGGCAAGGCGCCCCACAGGCCAGGCCCAGCGCACCTTGAGCTGGCCGGCGGCGCCCTCCAGGATCGTCTGCAGGATCTGGCCCTCCTCCAGTGCGGCGGCCTCCACGGCGACGCCTGGGATCACGTGGTACGACAACACCGTGGTCAGCAGGTCCTGAGGAAGGAAAGTGGGGGAAGAAAGGACGGCAGGTGGGGGGCGGGCGGGCTGGAGGACCAGCTTTTGAACGCCAGGGCTCCGCGTCTCAGGCTGAGGCTGAGGCATGCAAGTTGCCTCAGCTCAGCCGCCAGTTTGCCAGCACGGCAGCGCCGCAGCGGTCAGCCTCCCCCGCCGCACCTTGTCGCCCAGCACCTCCTCGGCGGTGAGGTTCAGGGCGGTGATGGCGTCCGCAAAGGCTTTGTCGGTGGGCGCAAACAGCGTAGCCTCCAGCGCATCGTCTGCTTGTTGGGAGGCGAGGGGTGCGGGCAGAGCAGGCATTGGAGTGCGGGGTTGAGGGCGTCTGAAGTGTGAGACAAGGGCCTGGCTGGCGGGCGGCAGCATGCAACACCACGCTGGCCGCCTGCAGCGCAGCCACGCGTTGCGGCACGCAGGCCCGCCAGCAGCCGGCAGCCAGCGCGGGCGGCCAGGCAGCGCTCACCGCTGGCCAGCTCATCCAGGCCCGCCGCCTCCAGCGCCGCCTTCAGGATGCTCAGCTTGGGGGTGTCGTCCAGCAGCTCGCCGATGTTGTCATACGACTGGGCCGCTGCAAGCGAGGGATTGGGAGCAAAGGCAGTGGTTGCTGGGGGCGTCGGCAAGGCGGCTGCTGCCTGCTGTCGGCGCCCGTGCATGGTTTGAGGCCAGGGCCGCCTGCCGCTGCGGCCGCTGACTGAATGCGTGGCGAGGAGCGGGATGCCATTCGATCAACAGGGCAGTTCTGCCGCCCCCCTGGAGTGGCTGGCACTGATGCAAGGGTGGCCGCACAATGCCGCGCCATGGCTGGCCCTCGGTGCCAGTTTGCCTGGACGCGCCTTGAACGCGTCCCAATTTACCTGCAGAGCCCAAGAGCAGCGCCAAACAGAGCAGAACCGCCGCGATCGCCCGCATGTTTGTGGTGGCCACTGGAGTTGTTGGGGAGCCCGCTCAAGGAAGGTCAAGGCGCTGCTTTGGGGTGATGATCGGATGCAATGAAGAGTCTCAGCGGACAGCCTCCATTGACTCAGCACCCCTTCTCGAATAACGCGGCGTGCATGACCAGCAACGCCAGCCGTACAGGACTCGGGAGTTGTGCCATGACTGATGCCAATGCGCAACCTCCAATTGGGCGTCTCCACCCCACATGATTCGATTCCGAGCAGCGATCAGAGCAGCAGCAAGTGAGGTCGCTGCGCGCCAGCTCAGCACCCGCTCAGCTAGCTCAAAACAGGTCCACCCAAAATTGCGGAGAGGACATTCGGCATCAACCCATCGCCATGGCGCACCTGGGGCTGGCATCGCACGACCTGCACGGCTCCATCCTGCTGCGCGACAGCCTGGACCTGCAGGCCTCCTTCCTGCTGGCCCAGCTGATAAAGACAGCGCTGGAGGGAGGCGCCGATGCGGCGGCGCATGTCGGCCCAGCGGCGGCGCCCGCCGCTCGCTGCCGCCGCCGCGTGGTGCTTCTCGCTGCGCAGCAGGCAGCCTCCCACTACGCCCAGGTGCTGCGCAAGGCGGGCCTGCAGGTGCCCGCGCTGCTCGCCAGCGGCCAGCTCACGGTCCTCGACCTGCTGCCCTCGCTGGGCTCGGGCCTGCCGCCCCTCCACGCCCTGCACCGCCAGCTGGCGGCGGCGGTGGCCAGCGGCGGCGGCGGCGGCGACGGCGGCGGCGGCCACGCGTGCCTGGTGGCTGATGACCTGTCGGTGAGCTGGCTGAGCGTCGCTGTGTGCGATCTGCTGGGTGCATCAGCGCCGCCGTCCACACCATCGCTGCGGTGGAGGCTGCCTGGTGTCTGCTGCCTGGGCCCGGTCCAGCCTCCCCTGCTGCATCCACACTCCCCTGCCTCTGTAGGTCCTCCACTGCCTAGCGCAGAGCCGACAGGACTGGGATACCTTCCTGCACGCCTGCATAGTGCTGGGCCAGGTGCGGTGTCGGGGTCGCAGGCTCGCGGCCCCTTGCCCGCTGCTGCCAGTCGGTGCTGGCGCTCCAATCTGTGCTCAGCCGCAGCTGGCTGCCTTCCGCCTGCCGTTCAACCCCGCCCGCTCCCCACCCACACCCCTCTTGCAGGCCCCCGGATGCTGCTTCATTGGGCTAGCGCACGGCGACGTGGCGGCAGGCGAGGGGTGGCTGGCACGGCTGGAGCACGCAGCCACGGTGAGGCGGCGCCGCTGCGCTGCCGGTCTTGATTGGATTTGGCTCTGTGCATGCCAGCTCGGCGCAGCGTGCTGATGTGTGGCTCACTAACCTGCTGCCCCCTACTGGGATGCAGCTGGTGCTGGATGTGGAGCCGCTGGAGCCGGGCAGGCCGGGCGCTGGCAGCAGCGCCGGCAGGCTGGCCATCACTCGGCGGGATGCATGCCAGGCGACGGCAGCCGCGGCGGCAGGTGCGGCCGCCGGCGTGGCACCGCCCGGCAGCCGCTCCCTCGGCTTCCGCCTCACTGAGGCAGGGCCCAGCTTCTTGGCGGGACAGCCAGAGCAGCACATCCTGTAAAGCAGCGCACACGGACTTGTGTTGACAATGAGGCTGCGCCACAGGTCGTCTCCGCGGCAGGGCCGCCATTCAACCGCTGCGGCAGTTTCGGTGGGTTTCGGTCCGTGGTATTCTGATCGAAACACCGTTTGACACATGTCCTGCATGGGCCGATGCTTGACAACGCTGCAGCAGGCAGAGCGCCGCGCCGGGCATCCGCTCGGTGCCGCCGCCGCACCGCTGCAGTACGCAGCGCGGTCGGGTGCTTAAATCGCGCCCATTCTCGCTGCCGAGCGCTCGCATACCTTCTATTTTTCGCAGCAAACACCCAACACGGGTTCACTCCGCAGGGCTAACCAGCCCCAGTCGGTCAAGTTGCCCCGACAGGCGCAAGCGGGCCGACCAAGGCCCCATCGGGCTTCCATCCTTCCCGAACAGCGCTCAGGCGAGCGGGGGGAGGGCCTGAGCCTCTGCTGGCCCGGTGGCATGCACACCACATGCACGGCAAGAGCAGCTCTTGCCCCCGCACAAGTCACCCGACGGTTTGCGGCCCCCTGGACCCGCACATAACCTCTGCACGAATCGGCATGCGTGATGGGTCGCCATATCCTTGGCCCGACTGCAGCCCAGCACCTCTCACGCCGCCGCCGCCGCCACCCGCTGCTGCAAATTTGTGGCTGTGCTGGCTGGCCGTCACTCTAGCGCCGCTTTGCCTGCAGGTCGTTCTCTGGATCCATTACACTGGCAATCCGTGCAGCCATGAGCCCCCGCCACCACGCCACACCCGCCCTGCTGGCAGCGCTGCTGGCGGCGGCCCTGCTGCCCCGCCTCGCCGCAGGCCACGGCTTCATGACCGCGCCCGTGGCGCGCAACGTGCTGCGCGGCGCGGCCTGCGGCGTGGGCTGCCCCCACTGCTGCAACTTTGGGGGCCCCGGCACCAGCTCCGCCGGCGGCCGCCTGACGTGGCCCGCCTCTGCAGCACCCGCCTGCGGCACCCTGGATCTCAACACCGCCGGCCCCGTCATGGGCAGCAATGCGCCCGGGGCAGGTGAGGTGTAGCTGGGCTGCAGGGGCGAGGCAGCAGGCTGGACGGCCCACTCCAGCTGCACCAGCCTGCCGGGACCAGCGTGCCGCCGCCGGGAGCTTTGCCCCTGGCCTCTCTCTTCCCGACACCCAAGCTTCTCCCACGCCTGGCTCCGGGCCCATCCCCCTCCCTGCTGCAGTCATCAAGCTCACCATCTTCATCTCGGCGCAGCACGGTGGGCGCCACCTGTTCCGCCTCTGCCCCGGCCCCGACGCCACCAAGCCCTGCTTCACGCAGCACACGCTGCAGCGGTGCGGCGGCGGCGGCGGCGACAGCGGCGGCGGCGGTTGGGAGGCGGATGCGCCAGCTCTGCCGCTGGCGCGCAGGGCAGGCTGCCGGCGCTGGTGCAGTCCTCTCGTGCCGGTTCTGACCTGCTCCTGAGGGCGACGCGTGGCGCACACAAGGGGTCGCCACGCCGCCCGCCCAGCGCCCCACCGCCCCACCTCCCCGCCCGCCGCCTGGCCCCCTGGCGTCCTGGCTGCAGGGTGGACGGCTCCGGCCCCTACGTGTGGACCCCTCTTCAGGGCGGCCCCGTGCCCGAGGCCGAGTACAGCCAGGGCGTGCGGTCGGGAGTGAGCGGCGAGCTGTACACCTGGCGCTTCCGCCTGCCGGAGGGCGTGGCCTGCGAGCGCTGCGTGCTGCAGGTGCGCGCATCGTGCAGTGCATGCGGGTGGGAGTGTGGGAGTGGCGGGGCTCGGGCAGCGGCTGGGGGTGGGGGGTCCCGGTGCGAGGTTGCGGCTGCATGCGCCGCCCCTTCATGTGCAGCCACCGGCAGCCCAGGCAGCCTGCCCTTTGCTGCCCGGCCCACCCCCCCACCCACGCACCCCTCCCGCCTGCCTCCCCTGCCCTGCCTGCCACAACCTCTGCCCCGCCCCCTGCTGCAGTGGTGGTGGACGACTGCCAACAGCTGCCGCGTGCCAGGTGCGCCGGGCTACGTTGGGGGCGACCCAGGCATGTCAATGTGCAACACGCCAGGCCCCTTCCCAGAAGAGGTGGGCAGAGGTTGCTGCTGGTGGCGGGCTTGGTGTGTATGTGTGTGTGGGTTGGTGGGGAGGAGGGAGTGGGTGGTGGGGCTGGTGGCGGGGCAGCGGGCCGGCCTCCCTCTCTTCTGATACGCGGCGGGCTGGCCTCCTCCCGCCAGCAGCCCGCCAGGTCGGGCCGTCCGCCAGCTGCATCCCTGTACCCGCCCAGCCGGCATGCCTCACCCACGCCCCGTCCTTCCTTTCCCCGCGCCCATCCTTTCCTAAACCCCTCCCATCCTTTCCTCCCCCGCAGTTCTACAACTGTGCCGACATCCGCATCGCCCCCGGCGGGTCGGACGCCGGCGACGCGCCCTGGCGCCCCTGGCCGCAGTTCCCGCTGCCGGTGGCGCTGCAGCAGGAGCTGGCGCGCGGCAGGACGGGATCCACGGCCGAGCCTACCACCGCCGAGTTGCTGCAGATGCAGCAGCAGGCTGGGCAGCAGCAGCAGCAACCGCAGCAGCAGCAGCAGCAGCAGCAGGCGGGTGGGATGGGCCCCCGCCCGCGTGTGGGGCCCATCCTGGGGCCGCCAGACGGCCTCCCCGCCGACGTGCTGGCTGCCCTGGCCGCCCTGCGCGGCACCGTGGACGAGCCCTGGGCCACGCACCTTTGCAGGGTGAGGGCTGGCGCCGCCGGCCCGCTGGCTGCCTCGCCGTGTAGGAAGAGAGCTCGCCCGCGCCTGCCTCGCGTGCTGCATGAACGGGGAGTTGGCCAACTGCGTGCCGCCATCGCCATCGCCAAAAGTGCGAGCCCCTCGCCCTCTCCCACCCCTGCGCCGTCCCCCGTGCCTGTTCAGGGGTATGGCAATGGCGTCTCCGCATCCGGCCGCTACTTCTCAGTCCAGCGCGACTGCTCCCTCTTCCTGACCTGCGGCCCCTCCGAGGGCTGGATCCTGGCATGCCCCCAGGTGCGCCGGTGCATGTGCCTCCCCGCCTCCCCGCCGGCGCCCACGTGGCATCCGGCACCTGTTCCATGAAGACGCCGGCTGCCCACCCCCTTCCCCGATCCTTTCTCCACCCTGCAGGGCCTGCTGTGGGACGACACGCAGAAGAGCTGCAACTTCCCCGCCCTCACAGAGTGCGGCAGCCGCCCAGTGCCGGGCGGCGGGCCGGCCGTGTGACACTGCTTTCTCCCGCGGCCAGCCCCGTTGCCGCCACCCTCCACCAACTCCGTCGTTCAATCCATCGCCAAGCTATACACTTCAACACCTTCCAAGCGCCAGCCTACCATTTCTTTTGAGCCGCCATTTCTTCCCACTCGCGACGGTTCTCCTGCACAGCCTGTACAGCACCCGTGACCTCCCGCCGCCCCTTCTGTGTAAAGCCCCCACGGCGGCTTGCTTTCGCTGCTCCACTCTCCCTTGCCCCGTTGCCTGTCTCCCCATCTTGAGCTGTGTGTTTTGTGCTGACAGTGCCCGCTGACCTCCCCGAGCACATGTGCCCCGCCCACCCTCCACCAGGCTGCATCCCTGACCCTGCGCATGAGAGCCAATTTTGTTCCTGCCGCAACAACCCACACCTGCCTGGCTGCCGGGTGCAATACGGCTGGGCAGAGCCCTTGACCCGCCGCCCACCGTCTTGCCCCCGCGCCCATGCTATCAGCCCCTCCCTGCACCGCTGCGAGAGCGGGAGCTTTGTTATGTGCCTGGAGCAGACATCCGCAAGCCACAGGGCATTGCATTGTCAATTGTGGCATTCTGAGTCAATAGAAAGCGCAAACGAATAGCATGGCGTTCAAGGGGCCGCAGCGGCCCAGACCGACTAGTAGGCATCTGGAGAGAATGAAAGCAAGTGTGAAATACGGGAGGGAAAACGAGTCGCAGCCACAGCACTGTGCCGCCGACACCTGCGTCAGCAGCGCCGGCAGGCCACGAGACAAAAAAGGGACGGCAGGCACGGTCCGGGACGTACGGAGAGGCGGACAGGCCCTAGGCACGGCGTGGTCACGGTGCCCACCTCTGGCAGGCCGGCAGCCGCAGCGGGCGGCCCGGCAGCGGGCAGCCAGCCCGCCGGCCTCACTCCAGCACGACGGGCGGGAAGGCGAGCCAGGGCTGGGTGAAGGCGGTGTCGGGGCCGCGGGTGGAGGGGTCGCGGATGGCGGCCCGCATGGCATCATACTCACGGGACACCTGCGAGGGGCCAACGGTTGGCGGCGAGGGCACACTTGTATACACACTGAGCCAGCCACCCTAAAATTACGCGCACGCAACACGCTGAATGCCCCCGTCCCCTCCTCCACGCCCTCACAAAAGCGCGCCGACAGATGCGCGCACGGCACGCACCTGCTCGAAGGCGGCCTCGGCCAGCGCCTTCTGCCGCCCCTCTTTGTCCTCTGCGCAGCAGAGAGGCACGGCGGCGAAGCGGGGGTGAACCTGTGGCGGCGCTGTGGCTGCTGATGAGCGCCTGCCGCTGCCCCTGCCGCCGTGGCTTGCATGCACGCGGCTGCCGCCGCCCCCGTCGCAGTCGTGCTGCAGCCACGCATGGGGTGGAACGCAGGCATGCGAGCAGGCACCCACCGATGCCCGCAGTGATGGCCTCCACATCCATCTCCGGGCACAGCGAGATGCCCACGGGGGCGTGGTTGATGACCCGCTTCTCCCCAATCGCCTTCTCCACCACCCGTGGAGGCGGCATGATCCTGCGGGGGGGCAGGGGGTGGTGGTCAAGGCGGCGGTGCCGGTGCTTTGTGTAGAAGGATTGCACGGGAGCGGCGCCGACCTGCGGCTGCGCGGCAAGCCAGTCAGCCAGCAAGGCACGGCCCTGT